ATGCGACCAATTTCTAGTTACTTTTAAATTTCTGTGTTTGCCTCTCCGATTTAACTTGTCTTCTTGTCGTTAGAGGACATTTAGTTTGTTTTGCGTTTTTTATGTTTACCATTAAATTACCTTATATCATGTATCAAATACTGCTCTACTATTCGTCAGAGATAACTACCCGTGCTTTGGCTTGGGTAAAATTTCGAAACTTGTGGAGTCTTCCAGAAACCTGTAATAGAATCGGTCGTGCTAAATTCCCGAATTTGGGTGCTTGATATATTTTCCAATGGTCGAATTGATTTAATACTTAGCGGATGTATCTTTAATCAATCGATTACCCGTTGTGCCGACAATTTGTTTTTGGACGTTCGGTTTCAATTTTTTTTCGAAATGGACTTTTAATACGGAAAATTCAAGCATTCCAAATCGTGCTTTCTTGTGCATGAATTTAGATTACCGATGTTCTCTTTTTCTATTGTAGGGGAACAAATACCGACGATATAGTAAATTTTTAAGTCATTTGGGACGTATCCAGTTCTTTTCATTTATGTACTCTCTGAATAAGAGGTTGACATTATTGTGGGTTATAACGTAGTCGTAAGTAGGTTACTTTTTAGAGTCTTTGCAAGGGGGTTAATATTCAGCTGAATCCGGGGAAATAATCGGCATAAAATATCCCGTAGAATCATTAAGATCTTAGTGGCAGCCCAACGTAGATCGTGAGAGAAATAGCACAAGCACAAGCTTTGTTACCTACGTAGGAGTTATTTTTGGTTACACCAGGAACCTTTGGAATTGTCGACCCAATTTATCGTTAGCGGTGACGTACCTTCAACCTTTTTTTTGTTGTTGTAAGACCTAAATATCTATGAACAGTTTATTTGACCCAAATATGTAAGTGGAAATTTTTACGTGTAATTAGTATGCTTGATCTTTAGGACTGTTTAACTATCAAGTACGAATTACTCTAGAGAAGTAATCACTTGTAAGGTAAAGAGCTGGTTACTACGATTAATTTCAACACCTCAAGCTACCGATTATAGTACATCATTTCAATTTTAATTTCTAGTAATTATACTTGTCGTTGCTTAGCGATACGGGGTGTCACATAACTTCAGGGGTTGTTGGTGGGTTAATTTTTGTGTTAAGATGGGAAGATTTCATTTTTTTGTATTTTGCATACTCTTTGGTTAATAAACAATAATCTTTCTTGTGGATCAATTGTTGACTCTTTTTATACTGAAGCTACCTTTCCTAATTCCGGTGGCTGCAGATAAAATTGTTTGTAGAATTAGGTGGCGCCCGAAAGACTTGAATCGAAGCACCAGTAAGTATTAGTGGCGGAGATTTATTTGGAACCTTTTATAATAATTTGTGGTCAAAGTTTTTCATTCACTTACCTACTACCCTGAGTAAGAGCATATCTCTCTACGCTGTTAACTATTTGGCTAACGGAGCTAGCTGGCCGATCAGCGGCGTGTGTTGATTTCAAATTGCACATGGTATTTTATCGTGCCCTGCATTCTAAGCTTGCGCGTTATACTCCTAACAACTTAAATTCGTTTTTTACATGAATATTCTCTTTTTTCAGTTGAAGTAGCGGGTCTCCATGGCCTTTCTGCAAACGGTAAAAATGGTCACATGCTGTTTTCTGTGTGGTGAAAAACTGAAACCTGTTAATGTGTTAATGGCGTCTTGCAGTATCTTGGTAATTTTTGTCATATCTGTCTGGGATATTGATATTGTCAGGTCGTCCACATAAAGCATTGTCCTTATATATTTCCCCAATGTATCGACAATTCCATTGATCACAATGGTATATAAAGTTGCACTTAGGACGGATCCCTGTGATATACAGTTGATTTGCGCAACTGGCTCCGATATTACATTCCCTATTTTTACCGATCCGTTATGAAGTGCGATATTAGCCTTGGTAGTTTACCCGTTAGTCCCCATAGTTTAGGATTTCATGTCTCCAAACTAAATAAAGCTTTTTGCAGATCAAAGAAGACTGCTAGGAAAACTGCCACGGTGTGTAGTGTTTTGCGAAATGTTTCGTTGATAGTATGATCAAGGTAGACTTTGTGATCCGTGGTAGAATACCGCTTTTTAAAATCTGTTTGGTAAGGAATTATTAATTTATTCTCTTCCAGTACCGTTACTAGACGTAGATTTACCATGCCTTCTAAGACTTTGCTCAGACACGATGTGAGATATCGGGCGTAGGTTTTCGACTTTGGATGGATCTTTTCCCTCCTTTGATAAGGCGAGGATAATAGCGTCTCTACATTTCAAAGGATAAGTACAAACCTGTTTTCCATATTATATCGTTATATATTAGGAAGTATTTTTTCAGATCATTTGAAAGGTTGATATAATAAAAACGGGAGCACATGGAGTACTACTACATCAAGAAAATCATTTGAAAGGTGTTTTATCATTGTATATATGGTACCATAGGGTCCCAGTGTGGAATCTTGTGTAGAGCATTTTCCAACTCGTGCGTGTTATACTTCTGTGCATCGTTTGGTCCATAGTCAATGTGATCTTGTTGCTCTACCTGTTCCGTCCGCAGAAATCGTTCGTTATACCATTTGTTACTGGAGATTTCGGCACAGCACTTCGCTATATAATTTGCCGATTTTTTTTGGGCTTATTTGACTTCTCTTCGTCTATGTATATTACCGGCAAAGTTGGAGGTTTCCGAGTACCCATTATGTTTTGCACTTTGCGCGCCACATTTGATTGTTGTTAGATAACTCTCGCATCAAAACACACCGATTCGATATTGGTTAACCCAAAATATACAACGAATATCATAAATATGTATATGTTACCGGACAAACCCGATTTTAGGACAAACTAGTTTGGCCTTATTGATTACAGGCTGAACTGGTTTCGCCTAACAGCGTTAGGATAAATCAGATTGGCCTGGTTGAATTGTTAGTAACGTTTACTTTAGTAGGTGAGACTATGGAGGAAGATTCTGTTAATGGTGGGCATAGCCAGAAAGAATGGAGAGAAAGGTTCATGACTACAGTTTTACAAAGCGAAAACGATAAATCAACACATTTCAACGTATTGACAAAAGATAAGTACCAACAACTTATAAATGAAGTCGAAACTGCTGCAAACACAGATAAGAAGACCCCGTTGCAGCAGAGACGCCTGAAACGATTTAGTGTAATTGACATTGGAGGGGTAAAAAAATTGGTGGCAGCCCGTGAGAGAAACGAAAACATCAAGTACTATCTGACGGTCGATGAACTGTACGATGTTATCGATGCTGCTCACGTGGCAGTTGGTCACGGTGGCCGTGATAGAATGCTTGCCGAAACGTCAAAGAAATATGCCAATATTACGAAGGAAGAAATACAGCTTTATCTGTCAATGTGCCAAGTATGTCACATGAAAAAAAACAAAAAGAAACAAGGTTTGGTCTCAAAACCAATTTTACATTCGGAAATGAATAGTAGGTGCCAAGTTGATCTTATCGATTTTCAGACTCAACCAGATGACAAATTTAAGTTTATAATGGTTTACCAAGATCACTTAACAACATTTGTTTTGCTTCGTCCATTGCAAAGCAAAAGAGCCGAAGAAGTTGCCTACCAACTGAATGACATTTTTTTAACTTTAGGAGCCCCGTGTATTCTACAGTCTGACAATGGAAGGGAATTTGTTAATAAAGTTATTTCTGAAGTAACACAGTTGTGGCCAGAGTTGAAGATTGTGCATGGTAAACCGCGGCACAGCCAAAGTCAGGGCTCAGTAGAAAGAGCCAATCAAGACATCGAAAACATGCTTGCATCTTGGATGGCTGATAACAAGACAACAAAGTGGTCGGAGGGGTTACGGTATGTACAATTCATGAAAAACAGAGCTTTCCATTCTGGTATTAAACAATCTCCTTATAAAGCTATGTTTGGTATGGATCCTAGAGTCGGACTCTCTACTTCATCTCTGCCCTCTGAAATTTTCAAAGATATAAATGATGAGGAAGATCTGACAAAGGTTATAAACAATAACCTAACACCTGCAAGTGAAACAGCTGATGATATCTTAATGGAAGAAGATGAAAATATGGTTCAGGCTCATACCTCAACTGACAATCAAATAAAACATTCAAGAAAAACCGCTGCTGAAGGTCTAAGAAAGCAAGCAAAAAAAATGAAATCCCACAGTGATAAGTCACATCCACCAGCCAATATTGGAGATAACGTCATGATACCCATTCCCGATGTGGACAAGTCTAAAGTTGACCTAAGGAATATCATTGGCGTTGTTATTGATATCACTGATGAGGGGCTGTACAAAGTTGGAACGAAACATGGAATTCTTCAAACACTATATTGCAGGTAGGCATACGTTTAATTTATTTAGTATGTTATATTAAGTGCATTTGTTAAGTGCAAAATATGGTTTAAAAACGTTTTTTAAACCAGTGTTTGCTCTCACAATTTTGACCTCATCGTCCATAATATTTACCCTAATTCAATGATTTTTTAATTTAAATCAGCCTAAATATAAGTCTTACAAATGTTAAAAGTTTAAGGTTACATAATTGTTTATCAAGAATACAATTTTCGGATTTTTTTCAGAACCCAGTTTGACGTGAGCGCCCAAAGATTCATTACTGAAAATGATGTGAATATGGAGAGTGAGATTTCTTTAAGAACAGCAGCAACAAAACATTCCATTGGTAGCGGTCAAGGATTTCTAAAATGTTCTTGTACAACAAGCTGCAAAACAAATAGGTGCCTTTGCAAAAAGAAAAATGTACTCTGCAATTCTAAATGTCACTCCAGTTTGTCATGTAACAATAAGTAATCAATAAACACGTTTAGTTTTGTTCCTGAGGATTCGAGATGTGAATTATTCATTACCCTTTTAAACTTTGTATGAAACTCTAGTATTACTTTGAACCCCCACACCCCGGCTGCTTGGGTTTGGCCTGATCTTGAACCCGGCAAAACTAGTTTATCCGTACGCTACCTGGCCAAACTAGTTCAGCCTAACAATTCAACCAGGCTAATCTGATTTATCCTAACGCTGTTAGGCGAAACCAGTTCAGCCTGTAATCAATAAGGCTAAACTAGTTGATCCTAGGGCGCTCAGGAAAAACTAGATCATCCTAGTCCAAACTAGTTTGTCCTAAAATCGGGTTTGTCCGGTAACATATATACCATATGAAATTTACGTGCGAGGATATTCCTGGGATATGCGATCTGCGTGGAATATACGTGGAGGATATTCCTAGGATATACGGTAGCATACGAATAGTCCATATTCGTCTACGCATATGCTATGGCTATATTTTTGCTATGTGGGGAGTCTCAATCTGAATAAATTGTTATTAATTTAAAACAAAATATATTAGTAATGAAATGAGGTTATTGCATGTGAATATATAAAAATTTAATTCAATTTTAGGGAAACAAGATCCCTCAAATGGAATTAATGACATGGAACTTAGGTCAATATTAAATTCCGCTTAGTTTTCATAAGAGTATCACGTTTTGATATTTTGAAAACCATCTCATACACGTATTTTTCAATCTAAAAGTACTGTTATTTAATATCGCTGTGTAAAGCAAACCTGCCTCGTTAAAAAATCGGAAAAAAATAAAATGCATCGCCAGCGCTCGTAATAAAACGCTATTCCATATTATCTTATCATAAAATGTAAATAAGTTCAGCATCGAGAGCAAATTGCCAATCAACAGCGTATTTACAAAGGTTCAGTATCCTGTTGAAATGACACTGATTTTGGAAAATACAAATCGATTACTTATACGACCAACATTTTATCTTTTTAACGGAAAAAACAGTAACCAATAAACTTACCTTCATCCAAGCAACAACTGCCGGAGGACGCGATCCTTTACACTTGCAAACAATATCATACCTCCTACCGCCACTAAGCGGTGGATTGTCGCCTTGTAGTTTAACTTCTAACGGCCGGAGGAACATATCTACAGCTACGCGAACAACCAAAGGTGGCTGCAGTTTACTGTTACTAACTTCACAGCTATACACCGCTAATAAATGCGACCGCGTTAGTTTGGCTATCTTGAGCACAGTTTGCGATTTAGCCCTTTCGGGCATGAACTGAGTATCCTCCGCGACGAGTTCACCGTCTCTCCACCATGTCACCTGAGCTTGTGGTTTTCCACCGGTCGCCGTACACGTCAAGCTTAAACCGGCACCGTCAGCGTAAGCCTTAGTTATCCCATTTTTTATGGGAAATCCCGATTCGTCACTTATTTGCACTCCTTGCGGGGGAACTGGAACAAAACAATTTGCTATTAATTTTACAAATAGGTAAGACGACATTAAATTAAGATTTAATTAGTGAAAAGTGTCACTGTAAAGTTTCTTATAGAACTTCCAGATTCTTAGTTTGCTTCTAACATATTCGAGTTAATTAGGAAAGTGGGGAAAATTCAGAATGAATGTTTAACTTTGCTTAATTTAATGGCAATGTTCTAAGTTTCCCTTAAAATAAGACTTTAACCAGGCGCAGCTGTTCTACTAGGGAAATACGAGGTGTCAAAAGAACCTCTTTATTACTGTAGTAACGGTTCAGAAAAGGAAGTTCAATATCTCAAGTTGATTTATACAAATATTTTGCAAAGTCTAAAAAGTAACAACTTTAAAATTAAATTAGCTTTCCTTCCATTTTCGTACGACCCTTTTTAATGGTTGCGTATTCATTGTTCTTTAAAACTTATTTGTTTCAAGAAACTTGTCTAATAACGGTTAAAATGTAAAATAGTCGCGCATAACTTGGGAATAAAAAAATAACGCGAAAGTTATGTTAGTACACGTGCGAATGGTGAAATTTAAAAAAAAAGGTGAGCGCCCTCAAGTTGTGGTCCGGCGTATATTTTAAGATTAAGTTTGGAAATATGTGAAGCACTTACAATGCACAGGGGTTAGAAAAAAGTCGAGATGTAAAGCATAAATATCTCTCATTATGGGAGATATTTTGAATGAAGTACTTTGTAAAGGGAGTTTTAAAACACTTTTGCACGATTTGGCTAAAAAGTTTCACTTCCTGGGAATAAGAGTGTTTTAGTTAAAAGAATTGAATTTTGGAAAGAAACTTTTATTTAATTTCATTCCGGCGACTACTCCAGCTCTAGCTATATTTTTATGGAATGCTTTTTTATTATATAATTCATGAGTAAAACACAATATCTGCAAGTTTTTGTGCGAGCAATTTCAATGTAGGTGGCAAAATAGCGTCACATTGATGGATGAGTTTGGTTTTTATTTTCCAGATTCCCGTATCATTTAGACACTCTCAAACGGATTTTGCAAGAAATTGAATTTAGTTTAATATTAAATACCAATTAAAACTGATTAATTTGCACAGTCGTAAGTTCATTTATTGTTTATTATCTATAAATTGAACATAGCAGCTTTCTGGTAAGTTATTTTAAACTGAAACTAACGCGAAACTATTTAATTGCAGGCGTCACATAATGAACGTCGACATGAGTTGACGATATTCCGAGAATAATGCCATTCTTGGAATACGTTCCATGGTTTCCTTTATGCAGAACAGCGTAAGTCCGCCAATGAGCTTAATTGTAGAAAAAGGCTTTAAACGGATGAAACCAACGCGATATTGTCTATCCGTATTTTAAAAGAAGCAGAAACGCGCGACCATTTCCAATTCTGGAAGCTGCGTATCCTACATAATTCCTTTTTAGTTTCGGTATATTCAGTAATCCCTTCAAATCCTTGCACGGAGTTCTAGTCTAAGAAGCTTAAAGTGGAAGTTTAAAAAGTTTCCCATACATTACCGACATAAAAGTATCATAATACGATTTGTAACATTTCTGACACTTGAATGTTAGCATATTGATTTAAAGTTAGTTAAATTCGTAAACGAATTAGGAAACTGATAGCGTAGCTGGTGAATCCACTTGGTATGCTAAGGAGTGTGATACCTGATAGGCACTTGTATACCAATTAAGTTTAGAATTCCTGACTAAAATATTATCGACATTTACATCAGCGCGTTCCAGTTTTAGAGATCTACTTGAGAAGTACTTCGATGGCATTCCTGACAAAGCGAGAAGTGCGTAAGAAAATTGACGAGGAGAGAAAACTACTGCTGCATTCTAGAATGTTACATAATGTATTACTTCAAACTGTCTTAACAAGCGCTTTCACACCTTATTTTTTTCTGTGTGATTTGCAGAATGAAAACTTGTTAATAGATGGAAAACGAATAACATCCATAACTTTACTTCCAACTTGTTAGTCTACACAAAACACGGCTAGGTACGAGGCGCATTCAAGTTATAAGGCCTCGGGTTTTTAGCCTCTCTAACTAATAACCCGAAAATAATGAAACAAGTTATAGAATAATAACGCAAAGAGTGTGCTATTTAGTGTATACTAACAATTCTATTGCCTATAAATTGACCTAATACACGACCAAGGCATACTCTGTGGGGTGTTGGAACCGACGGCAACGACCAGAAGCTTTCGTTTATATATAAGCCAAACCAGGGTTTATGCACTAAAGCCGTATTAAACGCAGACAAACAACAATGAGTGCGTTCTGTCAATTCTCCACATTCACCAAAGGCAGACAGCTGGTTTAAATCTGCGTGATGTGTTAAGAGAGTTTGTCACCAGAAAGAAGAAAGATCTCGTATTTTCGGAAAATTGTACTACTGTATTAAATGTTCGGAACGCTACTGTATAAAAATTTATTTGTTCGAATAATTATACCGGGTGAATACTTTCAAACCGAACATAGGGAATTAACATGGGAAAACAGTTTTTCGCAGCTTGTTGCTCCCCAAATTAACTTAGAGGGTTCATAATGAACAAAACGACGTACCAACGTCAACTTACTTTCGTTTGTTATGCAATACATTAAGCATGTAGTTTATTTTAGCCGCAACAGTTGGTAGCATTTCACGACGTTGTCGCTTTTAAATTTTGAAATCTGACAGTTCGCGTTTGGTTTACTTTTCGTTTGATTGAGTGAGGTAGGTATATTGAGGAACTGGAAGTAGAAATGGAACAGTTTAGTTTGTTAAGTCAGGCTGACAACTTATGTAGTGTATGGGACAAACTCAACTTTATTATTGACAACAAAATTACATCAACATTTCTGAATGTTGCAACTATTTTAAGGATATACTTAACAATACCAATTAGCAATGCTGAATGAGAGCGGTCTTTTTCGGTATTGAAGTTGGTAAAAAATTATTTACAGAGTACACTTTCCGAACAAAAGCTGAATAGTTTGTCAATTTTATACATAGAAAAAAATATATTGAGCACTTTGTGCTACGACGAAATCATTAATACATTCGTTAACTCTAAAGTTAGAAAATAAAAGATTCTTTATTAGTAATTTAATAATAGATTTTATTATATTATTTTCTATGGGAGTCTGTTAAGTTAAATTAATAAAATTGAAACGATAAGTACCCAGGTAGAGCAAATGTGACTGCAAAAAGTTTTAAAGAAGTCTTTACATGTTTAAGAAGTATACAGATGTGCATAGAAGCAGTTGAAAATGCGTTTTAAATTGGTAAAATGTCCTCTCTAGAATACCTATTTGACAACGTTTCTAAAATGTAGATAGTAGTTTTATAGATGTATAGAAGAGGTATATGAGAAGTTCTTGAACTGTTCTAATAGACTACTTTGGGAAGTATTGTATATTTTATTAGAATACTTGAAGACATATTTAAGAAGATATGTAGATGAATTAAGAAACACTCATTTAGACTTCTTTAAATGTTTAATATACTCTTTGAAGAAGTCTTGCATACCCATTTAAAGTGTTTTAAAAGAAGTGTAGAAGATGATCTTGTAGAATTTTTATATCCCATTTTAAGATATACCTATCATAGATTTTGTCGATATATGAAAGGTTGTCTTTTTAATTACATACATGTTAGTTAGTAAAATTGTTTATTGCACAAAATAAAGAAAAAAAAACATTTTTACAAAAACATTAAAGATAGTAATCAAAACCATCTTAACATCTACCACAACTTAAGTAAAGCTTATACCTAAATATAAAAAAAAATACAATGTTACAAATTAAAATTAAAAATAATAAAAAGTATTATTTAATGTTAGGTACACATTTTCGCCCACTACAATGGAGCAGCAAGTGTGAAGAAAAGCGTGTGGTAAATAAATCATTGTCCATTTAAAAGTTGTGGTTGTTGTTGGGCCTTTTTCTCCTTGTTTACCCTATAATTGGCATTTTTTAACCAATTAGAAATCGATTCCTTAAACAGTTGGGCACTGCAGTTCGGATTTCCAAACTTGTCAACGATTTCTATAAATAATTAGGTATAACGTAACGTATCATTTACAGAATGTGTACGGCAAGGAGGAAATCGAACCGCTACATCACAACAAATTCGTTTAGAATACCAAGAATATTTTGGAGCAGTAGCATGGCAACAAGATTCTGTTTTTGTTTTTGTTTTTTTTTTTTGTTAAGTACGACTTCGACTGCTAAGGTCTTTTCGTCTACTTCTAATCACTTGTAAGTTCTTACTACTGCCGCATTATATTTTGTTGTACATATTAATCAATTTTAGGTAGTCAAGAGTGCTTCTTATCCGGTCATCGCTTTTAAGATTATCAGGTAAGTTTCTCATTAATTTCTTTTCAGCTCTTTGGTGGTTGTGCTGCACAGTCGCAAATTATGTGCGTTACGGTCAGTCTCTCGTTGCAGTATTCACACAAGGGTGCATCGAGGCCCTTCAGCAGGTGTTCGTGTGTAACCTTTACATGACCAATCCTCAGCCTGTGTGTTTTGACCATATCTGCTCTGGACATATGTTTAATGTAAAACATTCCCCTTACTTGCCGTTTTATTGTGGTAAGATTTGTATTCGCCGCTTGCCATTTATGTTGCCATGTGTCTAATATCTTTTCTTTTAGATATGTAAATGCGTCCGTTTTTTCCATCACGTCAACGTCTACTTGTGGATGTTCAGAAGCTTCTCGTGCTGTTCTGTCTGCAAGGTCGTTGCCTGGTATACCTGCGTGTCCTGGCACCCAAATAAATATGATGGATACATTTTTGTTGTTTAGGTTTAATAGTTCTGATTGGGCCAGTTTAGTTAAAGCATTATTGGAATAAATTTGTGTTAAGTCTGTTAATGCATTTATATTATCGCTTGCAATAATAAATCTTTGAGTTTCAGACAACGAGGAACAGTGCTGAAGAGCTTTCCAGATGGCATATCTTTCTGCGAATCCTATAGTCGACTGCGGGTTTAAGGTCCATTTATTTGTTATCTGCGAGGCGATCGCATATCCTACTCCATTCCCAGATTTAGACGCATCGGTAAATATGATATCGTATTCTCCATACTCACTACATATATTTGTAAATTTCTGTTGAATGCGAGTGGGGTTTCTTTGCGTTCGAGTAATAAGAGATCACTTCTAATTACTAGTTCTGATAGCTTCCATGGACTATGTTCTTGTATTTGTTCCTCTAATAAGGGAGGTAGAATTATGTTGTTACGCTCTATATATTCAGAGAAACGCACGACAGCTGGCCTAGTTATTGTTGGTCGCAACCTAAACATAGTTTGATCTGTTTCTAAAATGGAGTTATTCGGATGTGCTGGTAGTGCTTTTATTTTTGTGAAATACTTCATCAGTATAAAATTTCTTCTTGTTTCTAGCGATGTCATACCCGATTCGCACTGTAAGCTATCTATTGGGCTGGTAGGAAAAGCGCCAAGTGATATCCTTATCGCAGAATGATGTATTTTATCAAGTTTGGATATAAGTGATTTTCTCGCAGACGAGTATACTATGCAGCCATAGTCAATTCTGCTCAGAATTAATGTCTGGTATATCTTCAACAAACTTTTCGGCTCTGCTCCCCAATTAGTATTTGCTAAGACCTTCAGGATATTTAGATCCTTAATGCATTTATTTTTTAGGTTTTCGATGTGTACCGACCATGAGAGCCGCGTATCAAACATAACGCCTAGAAACTTTACATAATCGCTACATCGTATAGGGTTCCCTTTAACGTAGAAAAAAGATTCTGTTAATAATCATGTTATGTAATTAAATATTTACTAAATTAACTTACTTCTGGTGTTAAGAGTATTGTCTAAGTTTTCGTCTTCCTTCTCTATAATCTCTATCGACTCGGCCCAATTGCTGCAACCTGATTGCAACGGTAAGTTGGTACAGCATCACATATTTACTTTAATAACCTCTGCTCTGACTCCACTGGTCAAATTGCAGACAGTGTTCCAAAAGGATGGGGAATAGGTAAGTTGTAAGAAATGTTTAGAGTAATACCTACGTATCATCTATCTGCAATTAATTTTAGGAATTTACGACAATGGGTGGATGAAATCCGAGATTTTTTTCGAATATATCGCCAACATTTTTTACCCATTTCTAGTAAAATTTAAAGTCGCACTTCAGTTATACTTTTTGTAGACGGGTACAGAACCCACTTAACTTATCAACTTAGCAAATTATGTATGTACAGACATCAAAATAATTTTGGTAGCATTATATCCTAATGCAACCAGCCGACGTATCTTGCTTTAGGCCCTTAAAGGCTCTTTGGCAACGTGGTGTGTTGAAATGGTGACGAATCGTATTTTGCTCCAATTATCAATGAAATAATCTCCGATTTAGTACCAGAAAGTATTTCGAACGGTTTTCATGTATGTGGTCTCTGTCCTTGGAACATAAATTCGATTACCTTGACCACGGCAAAGTTTCACGTCCTAATTTAATACATGGCGAATGCTATGAAAAAAAGTGTTTTTTCAGCGCGATATTAGTTATTTATGCAATGAGTGTATAAATGAGGCGTTTTATTGGTGAGTGAGAAGTTCGAACGAACCAATAACCGCCGATTTATACATGAATTGCATACAACGTTTTTTCGTCGACTTCACTGGGGTAGGTAATTTTAAATTCAACTACAAGAAATTACAAACGAAATTATGAGCTCCGACGATTTTTCACTAAATTACAGCTATTGTCGTTGCTATAGTAATGTGTGGTTTTATGCTGTACCGTCAGTCCACAGAATACGGCCTTCTCAGAATAGAAACAGTAATGTTACAAATTTGTATGGTATTTTGGCGGACCCTGGTGGGTGTACTATGCATCAAAATCAGAGTAGCGCCATCTGGTGACCAGCTTCTAAATCCATGAAGTAATTTCCCCAATTCGATCTAAATCACAAATATAGATAAAGAATACACAGTTGTTAAATTGCAAGTGTATTTAGATTCAATCACATTACATTATTTAACACAGACATCTTAAATTACATGTTTACAAATTACATATAAAACTCAGAAGTGAGTGGAACTTACGCTTTGTAGATGTTAACACTTTGCAGAAAGATCCTTACATACCGATTTATCCTACGAAGTATTTGGTTTTAATCGCTGTTTATTGGACTAAATATTTTTGTTAAAAAATATCTTGAGAACTAAATTTGTTGTTCCAAGAGGTAATAAAATCGCTTCAGCAAATTGTCACACAAGTTTTTGACAACAAATGTTAACTTGATCCTGGTGCGTACTTGTTACTTAAGAAGCGAGGGTGGAAATTGTTTAATTATCTAAAACGAATTACAATATAAGTATCTACGTCTATATAAATATAAAACTCAAGTCTACACCTTTTTGCGCCTATACCGTTACCGTTGGTAATTTAGAAATTCCATACCTTGCATAAATAGGAGAGAAATAACAGCACATTTCAACCCTCTTCGCGTTTCAAGCACAAAACAATCTGTTTCAAAATATGGGAAATGATGCCTTTTTGATATTTTATCGTTACAATCCGCCACACAACACTTTCTACGGTCACATAACTTGTTCATATTTTAAATCTTTCAAAAGTCAAAATTGACATGCGTAAAACCTTGTGTACGTATAAAATCGACGGTAAAAATATTTCCTGTAACGAGCAAAATTACAGGTTTTGCAAAAAAATATTCGAGTCTGCGATAAATAGTTCTCCGTACAACCACGGGAAACGCTGTAATCAGTGACAATTTAGCGCCATTTATGTTTCTGTTCTGTGAAGGTCTTATTCTGTGCGTCAGTCCTCGTAATCGCAGTGGAAGATTATGTTGCTACTTGCTTGCTCTGCTGCGGAGGCGATTTTACATTATATCCACTCAAATCAAAAGAAACTTATTGGAACGGTTTCGATCAGTTCGGCAATTGATGGAATACAATGAATTTGAAAGGAGATATTTCCGAAAATGTCATGTTGACATTTTACCTTGAAAAGGTATGTGAAATTAGAATGTAATTAATTCTTTTGCAACTGTACTAAAGTACGTGTATTATCAGTTAAAGATATGGAAAAGTTCATCTCTGTGGTCGACGTACTCAATGTTGAAGGTAAAGTAACTGAATACCTTAACAATATCTTATCCGAGAAGCTACACATCAGGATATGCTTTGCTGAGATCGTTGGCGACCGTACTGGCTGCTGATCTCACTACATTAAAACCGAGATTAAAATGGTTAGGTGGATGGAAGTTCTCAGCTGTTGCCGAAAGTGAATTGTTATATAAATGTCATTTCCCTTTAATAAAATGGTTGTTATGTATAAGTTGTTGCTAACGATTAATGGTTGCTAATGCATAATGGTTATGTATAAGTGGTTGCTAACGATTAATGGTTGCTAACGTATAATGGTTCCTAACCATTAATGAGCTTGATTACTACACCCGTAACTAAGGTAATTTATGCTGTTATCGAGAGGTCGACGAAATAGTATATTAAGATACAAGTGTATAATCAAGTCTTTAAAGCACGCGCAACGAGTTTAAGGGCACGACGCAAAGCGGAGTGCCTTTAACGTTACAAGTGCTTTAAAGACCAATTATACACGTGTATCTTATAGTATTTTTTATTATACCTGCAGTATAATTTAAAAATAGGAAATACAATGAACTCATATTGACGTTATACTCGAATACATGTCTAATTAAGTGGGCTGGGTGTTCGTAATTTCACGATTGCCATGGAAATGTCATTTGACGTTTGCTTATAAAAATCATCGTCTTTGTGAATTAAACGATTTCCGTTGAAAAAGATAATACACCGTCCATTAAATCGCTTGTTGTAAAATCTAAACAAACGTTGGTAGGTGTAAAATCCAACTCCAGTAAAGCCTATTATAAAGAATATGAAAAGTTGTTTCCATGGATGAATAGGAAGTTACTTACGAATACAGTCTTAAATGCATCCATAATGCTGGCATATATGAAGGAAATGTCAAAGGTATTTAAATCTTCTATATTTTGGTGCATTCATTCAAAACTTTAAAGCAATGCTGCGATTAAAAAGTGGAACAGATTTGGAAGCATACCCTAAATTACGCGCGTTTGTGAAAGCTTCAACCAAAGGATAGGTACAAAAGCCAAAGAAATGTTCTGCATTTACAGAAAGCGACCTAAGAGGATTTTTTATTTCATCCAGATGACAGTTTCAAAAGTCATACTTGAAGTATCGTTACTTAGCAACTTTAAAGCACGTGTGTTTTAAAGGCCCTTTTTCGCACGCATTTGAGTGTTTAAAACGGAGATTGTGATTCAGGTATAATAAAAAAAGTATTAATAGATTCTCCTTTATTTGATGTAGGTATTCTTTCTAGACCAAACAATCAGCTAAATTCTCTTTGTAATTTTTAAAACTGCGTAGAAACTTCGCGTAGGTATCTCTTTGACGCACTTCTAGTGAAATTTTTTTCCCCAAAACCACGTAATGATTCGATATTCCCCGTTTAAGAAATCCTTCGACACTTTTATGTATAGAAAACACGAAAAATCTTTACCAATAATAACGTTCTCTTATTTTAACCAACACTCTGTTATCATTGATAACCGGAACGCAAAAAAAAACCGAAAATTCAGCTTACTTCTGGAGGCTGTGTTGCTCAGAGCCTAATTAATTCATTTTTTATGAGACTAATCCCCCCCTTAGTTTCTTCGTAAAATTTTGAAGGCCCACAATGGCGGATCTCCGCCTTCAACTACCTTTTTAATAGACTCATTTACACCCCCCTAGATCATAATAGCTATCAAAAAGAACTCAACATCATAAAACTTAAAATGACCTAAACTGCCATAATCAAACTTTACGTTGCATAACGAGCCATATTGTTTGGGAAATAATACTATGAACTTTCTACAACCAGAAAAATTTCCACTTCGCGTATTTTTTGCGAAAAATTAAAAGC